AATGTTTTTCTTGTACTTTAGAATGAAAAGATGGGGCGACGTAAATTTTTTGGTACTTTTAAATAAAAAAAAAAGTTTAGGTAAATGTTCTCTTGTACCTTTTTAAGTAAAAATGAAGTTGAAGTATTTGTTTTTCGAATTTTAAGTTAAGAAAGATTGAGGTAATTTAATGGTCTTGCACTTTTAGATAAAAAGGATGTTCGAAGTAACTGTTCTAGTACTTTTACATAGCAAAGGGTGCTGAAAATATGGGGATTTTCTGGCTTAAAAAAAAAGAAAAAAAAAGAAGATCGTTTTTAGCATAATATCACTGCATATATCGGTTAGAATATATTTTTACGTCAGTTTTCTTCCAAAACTGGAACAAAGCTGTTAACAAATGGAACACAATAAAAAAAAAGAAGAACCCCCTCCCCTAAAAAAAAAGAAACCGACAAAAAACAGAGGAATGTTTGGCTTGGCTTTTCTTTTTTGTTTTTGTTTTGTATTGTTTTGTATTGTTCTGTATTGTTTTGCATTGTTTTGTATTTTTTTTGGTATTGTACAGTTTCGTTTTTTTTGGGTATTTTTACCCATAGATCATCTGAGCAGAAGCCTCCTGTAAAACGATCCTCCGTCTCGTTGTTGAGCAGGGATGTCGCAGAGACCGAGGTTAGATTGGCTGTGTTCACAGACATGGCGTCACTTAGCTGGTCCTGTCATGAGACAAAAGCGAAACATAATATTGTACAGGATAATATAAAAGAAATTTAGTATCAGAAGGGTTGAGCGGCATTATTGAAGAGTTGGTGCAGAGAAAATGAATGAGGTGGATGGATGGATGGATGGATGGATGGATGGTTGGATGGAAGGAAGGAAGGAAGGATGGATGGATGGTGTTTTTTTACTAGGTGTAGATCTTACCTACCATAAGATCAGGGGTGTGGCTAAAGGACAGCAGTAAGAAGAAGCCAAGGAGAAACAGTAGAAAGGCTGCAAAAAAAGTCAAGAGCCCAGAGGAGAGGGCAAAGGAGGTGAGTGGGAGGGGGCAGGAGGTGCAGACAACAGAACATTGTTAGAGAGAAGGGAAGGGTGTAAAAGGAGAAAATTAGAGAGAAGAAAGTTTCCCGTCGCTACCCAGATTCGAACCCGGGCGAACACTTTCACCTCTAGGCCACCAGAGCCTCCGCTACTTCTCTTGAGAAAAAGAAATAATTAAATTGTGGTGTCTTTGGTGCCAACACATTTTAGAACATTTACGAGGCGGGCTTCCAACCATACCTACCAGGGCCAACCACGGGGAATCAAACTCTATACTATACAGTGATGCTCACAAAACAATCCCTCCCCCCAAAAACAACAACAAAAACAACAACAACAACAACA